TACTACATAGTTGTAACTTGTGAAGGTTGTATGTAACAAGTGCAGGTACTAATCTTCATCTACAAACTTTACTGAATTAAATGATATTTTTATTTTTTTTATTTTATTTTTTTTTTTTATTTTTTTTTTTTTTTTTTTTTTTTTTAATTGGATGAAGGAGTATGAAAAAGCAAATATTGTTATCGAAAAAGTCAATTCCCCGACTGTCCAATGTTAGTTAAGCTTAGAGGGGTCTGGAAGAGCCAAACTCGAGTTCATTTTGTCGAGCTTAAGCTCTTCGAGTATTTTGTTTTTTGGTTCAAGCTCTAGCTCACTTTGGTTTTTTTATTTTATTTATCTACTATTAATAAAAATTATTTATATTTTTCACAAGGCAGCTCGTGAGCTCGTGAATAAAGAAAATACCCGAGCTCAACTCTTCAGAAAGCTCGAACTCAAAAAATTTCTGTTCGAACTTTCGAGTACCTTACTTCTTATGATCCAACCATACACTTGAATTTTCATTAATCATTTAATTTTATATTATCTAATCTTGTTAGGCCAAAAAATCTAAAAGTAACACAAAAAAAAAAAAAAAAAAAAAAAAAAAAAAAAAAAAAAAAACCCAAATTTGAAATATGTTCCCAAAAACTATACTTGTTACTCTCAGCTCAGCTCATCCAAAACGCAAAGGGAAAACTTTTTTTCTGTTTCCCAACCAAACTATAGGGGGGGAGGACCCCTTGTTTCTAACCCCAATTAACCCCCCCAATTACCCAAACCCCCCCCCTGAAACAAAACAACGGGCTACTTTGCCCCCATTCATTTTCTTTTACGCGTTGATACATCATTCAGTTATTTTATTTAATAAATATTAAATTCTTTCTCGAAATTAAAATCTAAATTGAACAAACAGAGCAGGCATAGAATTGATCCATCAAATCAACATTCAACAAACTAATATTTATATTTATATAAATAATTAAAATTCATAATCATGACAAGTGTACATAATTAACCATTAAACATGTAATTAGCATGAATCAGATGTTCTGAAACAAAGTTTTTAGAACAAATTAAATGTATGAATGTATGATGAATTATGTGTGGTACAGTGATGAATTTAATGAAGCGAAACAAACAACACGCTTATTTGACTGAGAGCACCAGTGAAAGAATCAAAACCAAAAATCAACTCACCTCCATCAAATCTGGCAATTGAATCTAAGATGAATTCGTAACCGGAATAACAAAAAAATCAACCACTCTGTGTGTAAATTGTGATAGTGTAATACTACTGAAAATGCTGATTTTGCTTCTACAGAAACTCTCTCCTGGCGGCGTTGCCGTACTGCGAGCGGCGGATGTTCAGCTGCCTCTTCTTGTACACCAGCACGCCGAGTCCTGCGAGGCACGCCGCGCCGATAACTCCGAATGCGATGCCGGCCTTTTTCCCGCCGCTCATGCCGCCGTCGTCGGAGTCGTCCTTGGTATCCAAATCACCGGCATTGGGCTTATCGTTGCGGCTGACGCCTCCAGGCACGACCGGCGCTGGAGACGGAGACTTTTTGGGCTCGGACGAAGGAGGCGGAGACGGAGAAGGAGAAGGAGAAGGCGTGTCTGGATCGGGATCTGACATTGGAGGCGCCGGTGGAGAATTGTCGAGTGCAGGGGAAGGCGATGGAATCGCCGGAGGCGGCGGCGGGGAGTTGGAGTCCGGCGGCGAAGAAGGTGAAGGCGAAGGCGAATCTGCGGCGAAGGTAGGGTTTGCGATGAGGAGGAAAGCGAAGAAGAGAGTTGCAGGGAGAGAATGAAGAAGTGAAGCCATTTGTAGAGAGAGAGAGAGAGAGAGAGAGAGATCTGAGAAGCGTGATAGGGGTTTTGAGGAAGTTAATATTGGAGATTTGAATGAGATTAGTTTAATGATAAAACGGAATTAAGAGAGTGATTAATTGGGTTTGCAGAGAGGGAAGGGGTGTATGTATGACTTGTGACTTGTGAGTTGTGAGAATAAATACAAGTTTTTTTTTTTTTTTTGTTTAAAGGCGGTGCCGTGTATATAGAGAGAGAAAGAGGAGAGAGAAGATGAGAGTGGAAACGGATTTGATTTCAAATGAAGGAAAGTGGAATACCATTTTTTTTTTGAATCTTAATTCTTAAGTTTTTTATTTTATTTTTTTAATCATGCATTTCTTTTTTAAATGTTGGTATAGGTCAATATTATTTTATTATTTCACTTGATGCTTTGTATGGAGACATGGAATTTTTACGATTTTTTTTATCGAAATTGAAGTATGTGTGAGATATTTTGATTTTCAATTGAATTTTAATTATCTAAGAATTTTTATTTTTCTTAAATAATTGTTTTCTCCAAAAATTACATTTATAATATCAATTTCAGAATTCAAAAAATGTAGTAGTCGCGTCCCACTCGCATGGGGAGTTATTCCCCCTAATGGCAACTACAAAATGTCTAAGATCAGACGTGTCGGTTCATTTTTTTAAGGGCTAAATTTGATTTGGTGTACCATAAATTCATTTTTTTTTAAATAGTTTAATTGGATGGGTAGAATTACATCCATGCCCTCATAATACAATTTATTTGGCATTTTGCCCCCATCTAAAATCAAAAGATAAATTGAATCCGAGTTCTTATTAATAATTGTAACGTCTCAACTATTTAAAATGGTGGCCTACTTGATGGAGCAAGAGTGATTGTAGTATTCGACATAGATTTATGAATTGAATCTTAGAAATCATTATTTTTCTAAAATTAAGAATATAAAAAAGGAAATTAAATAGTAAAAAATAGAAAAGACCCATCCTGCCATACACTAGTAATGGAGAATGAGATGTTTACACATGGTTATGTAAACCGGGTGAATTTGAGTCGTAGATTTAATTAAACAACTACTCAAGAAACACACATGCACATGATTGTGTGTGCGATTACGTGTAGATCTACGATTCAAATCCAACCAGTAGATCTATACGGTTCAAATCCAACCAGTTGTAAATAACCAGGTATCGCGTCCAATTTCCCGTAATCTTGGGTGATCCAAAAATAAGCAAGACTAAAAATGATAGTACTATGGAAAGAAATATATGTTATTTTATGAGTTAATCGGGATTTTAATCAAAAAGTTGATACAAAGACAAAAATAGATAAATTAGATTCTCTTCATATCTATATTATCCGTTTCTTGTATCTCTGTCTCAGTACCTGTAAGTAGCAATCTGCCTATAGATTCACAGAAAGAGCAATTTGCAGTAATACAAATCACCTTCATAGCTCATCTTTCACATCATTAGTGGATGTCTTAGTGACTTCTTCTTCTCCGGCTTGAGAATCCGAACCTGGTTTCTGAAGCTTAAAAGGGATCGAAGCATGTTTCTTGATGAACTTGTAGAATGCCACTACTGTTCGGTCAGTATCGACCAAAATCTGCCATTTAATTCAAAGTGTCATCTAATCGTAATTTAATTTACATACAGAGTATAATGTATGTATCTATTATGAGTTTGAAACATGACTTACGGGATCGACGCTCTTTTTTCCTGCTGGGAAGAAGAGAATTGTGGGGAATCCATCAGCCTGCAGACAGAATTTTTTTCTTTACCATCAATCACATTTTTTCTTTCCGAGCTGAAGTTAAGTGTCCACAATCGTAGAGAAACATTAATAATTTCGATTTCAAATTCAAGAATTTTTAAAATAGAAAATACCTTGGCTTTGGGGTGTTCGTTTGTGGTTCCGTCCATTTTGGCTATAACGAGAGATTCAACGCCACGCAAGTGCTTGGCAAGCTTGTTGTATGTTGGTTCGAGGGATTGGCAATGGCCACACCATGGTGCGTATAACTAAATGAATATGTATAAAGACTTTAAATTAGAAATTTAGCCATTGACTAATAATAAACAACAATGCAAATTAAATTAATCCCAACGGTACCTCGAGAAGAACGTCTTTAGACTCATCCAAAACAATATCATCGAAATTATTTCCAACGATTATTTTGACATCCCCATCATTCTGCAACAGGAAATATTTAAAGAGGATGTTGATTAGCAGATTAAATGAGGTACGTAATCAGATTGGAAGTTGGAAAAAGATTATAACTCACATTCTCGGGAATTGGATCTGATTTATAGAAAGGTTTGAGCTTGTCTTCCACGAAAGCCTTCCCAAATGCCTGATCCAAAATAAAACAATGAAATTCAACCCAAAGACATTAGGGTTAACGAATACACAACATCAAATAAGCAGAAGCAGCTCTTAACCAAAGAAAACAATGTAGTGAAATTCAACCTTGACTTTCTCAAGTGTAACTTCACCATCGAGTATATATTTCTTAGTATCATCATTTCCTGCATAGCCCAAAACCTACAAGATAATTTAACAGGTTAACAATTGATTCTATCTTTGAATTATCGAATCGCAACTTTGTAAGAATGAGTAATACATATTGAAAAGAGGATAACTTATCAAAATTTTAAGAAGGTTACTTTTATAGCATCTCCAGTGACTCCAAAATAATCCGCCACTGGCTTTCCAACTTCTTCATTGTCGATATCCACATATACAAATATAAGCTGCATGAAGTAGGGAATTATTCGATTATTTTAATGAAAATATAATGCTAAAAATACTGTATAGCCACAGCAAAAGCCTCATCCTGGCTAAAGATAGAAATTAGATAAGAAAAATTTTTGGTAGTATAAGAAGATTTTAACTCACAAAACAGCATTCATATGCCTTGTCTTAAAGGCCAGAAATAGGTTTTGACACATCCATCATCCTCAACTTCTAGGAGTTGGGTATCACAGTGTGTGATCGAAACTAGTTCAAATTGGCAAAATTCTAGCTAAGTAGGAGTTTGCCCACCTAAATAAATAATTTAACATTCATAGTTCATTTTCAAATCCAAGCAAATGTGCTTTTACAACGACAGAAGAATATTAAGTAGCAAGTAGACAGTACCTTTCCCTTGAAAAGTTTTGCAGCTTCTTGAAATATTGGAACAACCTCTTGTGAATCATTTGATGGGGCAAAGAGTAAAATCTAAGAACAAAAAGGAGTTCAATATTACAACAATGAACATTTACACATACTTATTTTGAGAAGAGAAGGAAATGTTTTATAAGGGTGGGTCATATAACAATGTCTATTGAGAAAACACTATGGAGTTACTGACCTGCTTTTTAATGGGGCTCTCAAATATCAGTGACGCACTTTCTTGGGTAAAAGTGGTCACTAAAGGAAGCTTGTTGGCAGAAACAAACTGAGCTATTACAGACTTTTTGAACTCTCCATCTGAACAAAGAATTAAGATGATGAATTTTAGTAAGTTGTGGAGAAGCAGATGCCTTAAAACAGTATGCATTCGGTACTAACCAAAATGGGCCACTTTCTCTGCCTCTTTCTTTAGCAAGACCAAAGCAGGGCGTTTCACATTAGCTTCCAAGTGAAACATCTTCGCCACATTGGGATTTGCAGTTTGGTAAAAGTTAACATCATCGTCAAGCTTTGATGCAGCAGCAAACTCTTCGCTCTCAGGCCCCTATCATAGTTAAAACTAAAGTGAGGGTGGAGAATGATTTCCTTTATCTTTAACATCAATCTGATAGCCTTTTTTTTTTCTCCAAAAGGTTCGTATTAGCTTGAAAGAACTGAACAGTGTATAAAGCTTATATTAACAAATAATATGCACTATCCTCGTAAAATGAAAACTTTAAACTATGTAAGCATGAACGAAGACGAACTTATAATTAGTCACCATGACAAAAAAAATGATACATGTGGTAAAAGAAGGCAAAGTAAGTGCTAGCTTACACCAAAGAAGTTGAGGAAGCCCAAAACGACCTATCCTCAGAAGTTAATATACTCTCTGCATCCTCTGTGTTGTTATGTTAGATATACCAGGTCCAGTTTTCTTCTTAATCCATGTAACAATAGCATCCCTGTATTGAAGTCAACCCTTCTTTTAATTTCCGAGAAGAACAAGAAATCCAACAAATTTGTTTTTCAACTATAATGCCAGCAATGAAATATCATCATGTAGCCAATAGCATTGTGCAATTATTTTTTTGGAAGTTCTGCATAACCTGACTAGAACAGCTACAAATCCAGATATTATAATAAACGAAAAGAGAAGACGAGATTCAGCAATGCCCCAGAATGGGACTTTACTTACAAGCAACCGCGCATTTAGATAACATATTTTACAGACGGTATGTCACCTTGATATGCTACTGAAGAAAATGAAGTTCAACAGATCTACTGTAAATCATTTGTGCTCACCTCATACTAAGAAATGAACAGAGCTAACCCAATGCATGCCAAAAGCAACTGAACGCTAAATTTCTCTTGATATAGGTTCTATCTAATTCTGACCCCAATGGTTTATTTGAGGCTGCGGAACCATAAGAATTTTGAATATTTATAATATTATTTAATCTTCACGAGCCTGAACCCAAATTGTCCAAAAACACTTCAAACCTTAAACAGTCACACCAGGAAGCATCGAGCCATATTTATATATGCATAAGTTTTTCTTTTACTTTTTTCTTTCTTGGTAACAATGCATGTCCATAAACAGGTGTTTGGTGTAGACTAACCGTCTACTAGAAATCACCAAAAGGAAAGAATCCAATAAATAGGTACATAAAGAGGGAATCTGAGATGAGAAATAGATCGGGCCACAATGTTATCTGATTTCATTCAACGAGAAGAAACATTGTGAAGTTGACTTCTTCACCTCGACCCTATTAGAGTATTAGATCACGCATTTGACACCATAGAACGAGGCTCGTTAAAGTAGGTATGTATGTACTGATATAATTCTATAAAATGGCCAATTGGGAGGGAGTTAGGGACTAAATCTCATATTTGAAAAATCAATAAAAAAAAAAAAAAAAAAAAAAGAATACTCTCTTCATATCCTCTCTATTCTCCGATATAGACTGAACTCCATTGTGAGCAGAACGGTGTTAAAATTTGAAATTCCTAAACTTCCAAATTCTACTTACTATTCAAATCAATTTTACAAAATTCTACCAACTTGTGTAACACCTAGGATTTAATTCTTCTAGCTTGATATTGTGGGGAGCCAACAAGATATATGCATGGAGGGAAGGCTATGACATTTAAGAACAAGTCAACTGGTGTAGGAGGCCGACCATTTTATTTCACATAATTTATGCTGATCAATAATTACAAATTATATTGAAAAGTGATCTACATTTTTTCAAAAGTTTTTTTCACTAAATCCAAAAAATGTCACCACCCAAATTCCTAACTTAGGTTTTTAATCATCAAATAACGCACAGAGTTATGCACATAAATAAGTTTCTTCAGAGAGAAATCCACTAGTTGAACCATAAAACTGAAAGAAGAAAAAACTCACCTGGTTCGTTGACCAGTGTAAGGTCTGTGCACCCCATCAACAAAGAAGAACAGAGTAGGAAACCCCTGAACTTCATACTTCTCCGTCAGATCATTCTCCTCCGTGGCTTCCACCTTGGCGAGCTTCACATTCTCCGCCTTCAACTCGGTGGCGGCCGCTGCGTACTCCGGCGCCAGTGCCTTGCAGTGCCCGCACCACGGCGCGTAAAATTCCACCATGACATACTTATTCTCATCGACGAAATCACTGAAATTACCACCACTCAAAACGACGACGTCCTTCTCGTCAAAATTGGCGGCATCACCTTCCTCCTCGTCTTGCTGATTGAAATCCGAGGGAACATCGAAGTCATCGAATTCCTCTTCTTCGTTGTCGGAGTATTCGGCGTCGGAGTGGTGGTGGTGGTGGTGGTCGTCGCCGGATGCGGTGTCGCCGGACTCGGGTTCCTCGAGGAAGCTGAGATCCTCGTCGTCGTCGTCGGCGGCGGCGGGGGATGAGAGAATGGGCGTGGAGAGGAGAGAGAAGAGGAGGAGAGAGGCGAGTGTGATGTGGAGAATCAGTCGAGTCGCCATTTCTGTGACTCGGATCGGAGTTGGGGTTTTGACTGAGATCTGACGGGTACACTCGCGATTTTGTTCTGTTGAAGATGGAAGCTCTAAACGGTGTCGTTTTGAGCTGTCCGTTTTCCATATTTTCAGATCTATATAATGATCCGTGGAAATTGGAATTAATTTTTTATTTCTTTTTTTGAGCTTAAAACAATGGTTATGTGTGTTAAGCTTTTCAAATTCTTTCCACACTTTCTTCAAAATGAAAATTACTTTTCTACACTATTTTCAAAAACTTTCCCCAAAACAAATTCAAATATTTCTCTCTCTAACAAACATGATTTGACCGCCACAGTGAAAATTGTCTTCACTAAAATACAAAATCAAATCACTTTATCTTTTAAATTCTTCTTCCAAAATACCTTTTTCCAACACCTTTCACACATGATTTGACTTGCTACAGTACAAATTGTCTCCTCCCAAAACACAAACAAACTTTATTTAATTTTCAAATTCTTCTCCCAAAACATCTTTCCCCAAAATAAAATGGAAATGGAAGCCCAAAAGCTTACCAAACACAGCCAATAATTTTTTGTTGGAATTAATAACAATTGTTTAACAATTTGTAGTAATAATTAACTGATAGTTAATGAATAAATCAGTTTATATTTTTTGTATTTGCTAATGTAAAAGATATATTTATTTTATTTATACATATTAGAAAATATATATCTAATCTCTCTCATAGACAGGGTCATGGGCCGGTTCACTCCGGTTCGCGGTTCACTTTTTCCAGAACCGGAACCGGCCCATACTACACACGGTTCGGCGGGTCGGGCCGGTCCGATGG